CATTATCTTCCTCATATCCGTATTGGATGTAGACTTTGTTTTCCCTTTAATAAACTTATTTTTAGCTCAATAAAGCACATTTGAGATACCAGTCTTCCCAGGCAGCCGTGCTGCTGCCTAAGCAACCATATTCTTTCTGGAGCACTTCATGCATGTACTTTTCAACAAGTAGTAAAGCTGTCCAAGAATACATGTGGTGCCTGGACTAGAGTTTTGTTTTCCAAAAAAAGGCTGAAATCCTGAAAACCAATAGGAAAGTCCCATCTGACTCCAGTGAAACAAGGATGGCAGCAGCAGGTACACAATCATGATAAAAGTGCTGAGATGTGGGCACGTGGCACGCAGAGCACAGCCCTGCCCCAGCTATTCACCTGCACAAGCCTGTGTGATTATTCCCTGCTCATTCCTCACTCTTTCAGGCTCAGTGACGAGGTGATGTTGTATCTGTTCCTTTATATCTCAGCATGGCTGACACAGGCTGGTGGAGGCTTGCACTTGGGAGGGGTTTGCTAAGAACAGAGAGAAATCTGCAACAAGACCAGAGAGGAGACTTAGTACTGAGGCAGTTTGTGCAGGAGAGTCAAACAACTGAAAACAGGTTATTATGTATATAAAACTGCAGAGATCATGCCTTGCTGTATGCTTGACCAATTCAGGGGAGAATCAGGATGTGTAGGATTAGGCCTTTCCTTTGTTGCTGCTGCCAGGTTTAGTTCAGTTCAACTTCAGCAGAGCTCTGCCTGGTGAGAATACACCTCCAGGACCTTTCCCAAGGGCAGTGCAGTGCGTGCAGGTACCAGTGAGGCAAATGGTGTTGTTATACACAGTGCTTTCCTCCAGCATGGCTCCCCAGGGCTGGCTGTGCACTACTGCTAGCAGTTAACTTTCCCCAATGGGGATTTTTTCCCCATTTATTGCATAGGAGAAATGTGGGGAAGAAGGATGCTGAACCTGTTGCTGCAGCCTGGGGAATGAAGGGAGATGGGCTGGGGCCTGGGGCTTGTTCCTGGCTGGCCCTCAGCAGCTCATGCAAGGTTTGTTTGCTCAGGCTCTTTCCTTGCATTAAACGGTTGCCCTGAGGGGCATCCCACTTGCTATCTCTTTTCTGTAATAATTTTCTCTTTGTTATTTTGTTGGTTTTCTTATCCCCACTGCTGTCATCTCTATTATCCAAGCTCCTAAATGATTGCCCAGTGCTGGTCGCACACAGCATCAGAGCTCAGCTTTTATTCTTATGCTCAGGAGCTTACACGTGTCTTTTGCAAAATGCCACGTGTGTCAGTGCCTCCTTTCCAATGGGACTGCTGCACTCATTGCTCCTGGAAATGGTGCCTCGTGCCATGATTGGCAATAGAAGGTCTCACCTCTAATTTACAGCACTCATAGCACATCTGTGCCTGCCTGGAACCTCTTGATGGAAATGGCTACAGTCAGAGATGGGCAGAAAATGTGCAGGAGGACAAGCACAGAGGAGTGCTAGCAGCCTCTACACCACAGCAAGAGAGAATTTTAAGGAGAGAGCTTTGCAGATGTGTATGACAGTTTGCCTCAGGTTTGGAAAGGAGGTGCACAACTTAAGAACTGAATGCAGAGGGGCACTGTGGTCCAGCTGAAAATGAAGGGTGGGAAGGAAGAGGAAAGTCCAGGAGGGTGCACCCCTGAAGTGATACAGGCAGGTTAGTAACAACATACATGAGATACTGTTTCAGTCTTCACAAGTAACTGCTCTACACACAGCTCTCCAGGAGACCTGAGTGTGGCCTGTCAGTACTTGAAGGGGGGCTGTAAGAAAGGAGGGGACTGACTCTTATAGCAGGATCTGCTGTGATGGGACAAGGGGAAATGGTTTCAAATTAAAAGAGGGGAGATTTAGATTGGATGTAAGGAAGAAGTTTTTTTACAATCGGGGTGGTGAGGCACTGGCACAGGTTGCCCAGAGAAGTGTGATGCCCCATCCCTGCTGACACTCAAGGTCAGGCTGGATGGGCTCTGAGCACTTGATGGAGCTGTAGGTGTCCCTGTTCAGTGCAGAGAGGTTGGACTGATGGCCTTTAGGGCTCCCTTCCAACTCACATGATTCTGTGAGTAGTAGTGGATGAGACATGAGAGCTAGCAGGGATGGGACTGGCAATAGTGAAAGCTCAGAGCCCTTCTTGCCCTGCTTTCTCCATCATGAGGATGTGACACAGGGAGGCTGTGGAGCTGTACTCCTGTGCTGCCTGCTGTGTGGGAACCAGAAAATGAGAGCACAAAGGAAGAGCTGACACAATGCAAAGATAAATTGTTAAAACCAGCAAAAATTAAGTGAGGGCTGCTGTGCTCCTGCTTTGGCCATTGCTCGTTACACGTATTGGGGGTGTCCTATCTATCACCTGAGCTCCCTAAGACTCATTCTGAATTTAACAGAACTCTAGTTATACCATTTACTGCATTCTCAATTGCATCTGAATCAATCCATAGGATCCAAACTATCCACATCTACGTAATCCATGTTTCAGGTCCAATCTTGACAGCTTGGATATCAGTGATAGGATGACAGGGAATGGTCTCAAGTTGTGCTGGGGAGATTCAGGCTGGATATTAGGAAAAGTGTCTCTGTAGGAATGGTGAGGCAGTGGCACAGGGGAGTGGTAGAGTCAGCGTTCCTGGAGGAGTTCAGGAACTGTGGAGATGTGGCACTTAGGGACATGGTTAGTAGGCAGTGTTAGTGGTAGGGTGGACGATTGGACTTGAATATCTTAGAGATCCTTTCCGACCTTAATGATTTTATGACTTAGGGAGGGGTCTGAGGGATCGGGGTGTGGGCCATATAGGGAAATAAGAGATGGAGTAATAAGACCAATGCTCCTCCTGTGCTGGGAGGCATCAGGACACCCTGCATGCCATAGTCTGCAGATGTTTCTCATTATTGAAATGAATGGTGTGCAGGTGGGGATCTGCACAGTGCCCAGGCCCACTGGTGGTGGGCTTCTAGGCACTGCTACTTGAATAACAAGAATTAATGTCACTGGAGAGAATGCTGCTGTCCAAATGACTCGCTTGTGGCTTTGTTTTAACCATTACAACATTGCAGAACTAATGGGCAGTCACTCATGTTACAGTAGTGTTCTTATCACAAGTGAATGCACACCCTGAGCTTTATTTTTTGTAATGTTGCTGGGCTGGCGGGTAATGAGAAAGACAAAAATTCTTCTGCAAATTGCGACATAGAAAAAAACCAAAAGGAGTGGGAATTGGAGGAGCTTGTGAATCACCTGGCTGACCAAGGGTTCACAGCTCTCGGTGCTGGTCAGTGAAGCATGAGTCAGGCTTCAGTCATCTCCCCTTGTGAAAAAGCTATACTAACAGTGTGTGGTTTGGAAATGAGAAGGCAGTGAATTAAACACAAAAAGAGGAAAGGAAAGCAAGAGGGAGGAAGGGGAAAAAGAAAGGGAAAAAAATTGACATGCAAATCTGAAGCTGCTTGGATGGGTGGGAGCAAGCGGGCCTGACTGGCCAGTGTTGGTGCTATGCCCACTGCCCAGGGCAGCCTGTTCCATGCCTTCCACCCTCTGGTGGAAAATCTTTTCCTGATGCCCCCAAGTCTGTTCCATGCTGTTCCCTTGGGCGCTGTTGTTGAGGTGTGTGGCAGTGCTGGGTGCCTTGGGTGCTGGTGGGGCCAGCTTTGTGCCAGGCTCTCTGGGCCCACTGGGCTGGAAATGCCGACGGCTCTTTCAGAGAGGGACGGTGATGTCACAAGCATTCAGCAGGGCTATTCAGTGTAGTCCTAAGGAGCATCCAGCAAGGTGGTAGACAGCAAGAATAAAATAGGCATAAAGAAAGAGTTCTGCCTGTGCGGGTTGCTGGGCATCTGCAATTGCTATGGCAGACACTGCTCTCTACACAGGATTCCCTTTAATTAGTACCAGCTTTGTTTGTTTTGTAAGCCTTCTACCTTTCCTTTAAATTGGGCTGAAACTGCTCCCACTGACATGTGCAAGTGTGTCCTCTGATACCCATCACAGTCTTCTGGTCATTCATTCACTGGTGTCAGTGCTGAACTCTGTTTCCAAGAGCTAAATAAAAACACTAAAAGAGCAGCTTTGAGTTGATAGGAACTGTAAGTCACAGAGAACAATTTTAAAAAAAATATATTTTTTTTTCCTTAGTTAAGCACGTCATTAATGCCACCTTCATTTGCTGAAGTCTTTTACAGTCTGCTCAGCCTGCAATCTGCCTGCTCTGCTTTCAGTGTTCTGCTGGGCCAAACCGGGACAGCACCTGAGATCAGCTCTGCTGGCTGCTTTTCGTGCTTAGTTTCACTTGGAGGGTCTCTGCCATGATGTTTGGGTAGAAACAGTGCAGAGATGTGGTTATTTATTTAAACCATCTGTTTCCATTGGCATGAAGATAGCCCATTGCAGTATTTCTCTTGGTCTTCAGACTCTCTGCACACCTGGCAGTGACTGCACTAGTTAGCAGATCCAAGTAACAGATCCTGCTGTTACCAACAGCTCATGCTTGTTTTGTGCAGGTATAAATAATGACTGTTGTCGAAGGCAATGCCCTTTCTCTGTTCTCCACTCTGAATTTTTCTGTTCCCAGCCTGGGAATAGCAGAGGAATTATTACCCAGTGGAGTGGACTTCAAACTGGCATTTCTACAGCAGTTTGTATCAGCCTCTGTCTTCCAGCAAAAGCTTTTTGTACTTGCAAGATAAATAAATATGGGCTCTAACTGTCTTATGTGCCTGTGTGTTACTGACTTCTCTAAAAAAAAGCCAACAGAATTACAGAGCCAGGGCAAAAACCAGCACTGAGCAGCTGCCATGTTGTTCCCTGCTGGGGCTGCCTGGCTTTTCCGGACATATTATTCCATAACTAAAACATCTCCATTAGTCCTGCTTCCCATCTGGCTGAAATTGGGTTTGTCTGGGGATCACTTGAATGGTGACCGTGGTCTTTGGTGAGTGCTGCCTCTTGAGCCTCTTGAATATGTGTTCTTTCTTTTCCACCCTACAGGAGATGACATGAACGCAGTCCCTGCTACCGAAGCTCACGCAGTCCGGTTCCCCACGTAGTGGTAAATCAGAGGTGTGGTGTGCGTGAGGTGCAAGAAGTGGATGGAAAAAAGGCAACAAGCTCTAACAACATTGTGATGTGTTTCCCTTGCAAGCCAGGTAAGTGTTGCTGCCACTCACTCAGCCGTTTGCACACAACAAACAGCTCGCTTCTCCTGTCGTGAGTGGAGCCCCTGGTTAGCACTAAATTATGTGTTGAGGCTGAAACCATTCATCTGCAATCAGGCAACAAAATCAAACTTGTTTAATGGTACATCCAGACAGTAAGAATAAAGCCAGTGTTAGTGCGCTAGCAACATGGATAACAGCAGCATGACACATCCTTGAGCGATTTGGCTGCGCGCTTGCCTCCCCAGCCGGCTGGCAGCACGCACAGCCAGCACTGCCTGCAGCCACATGCTGTTATTCAGCCCCTTCTCTGCAGATATAAAAAACCCTTGGTTTCCTCCATCCATTTCCTCTGGCCCTCCCCCACGGCGATCCTGCCCACGCCTGATGTGCAGGCTGTGAGCACCACAGCCTGGATGCAGGCTGGGGTGGGTGCTGCAGGTGGGATACATACCTGGTGTGCTACAGTCCCTTCAGTGTCACCTTTACCACCACTGGTGAACAGCGAAGCCTCCAAGCAGCAATTCAGCGAGACTGGGTGGCTTTGCAGGGAGCCTGTGCCCGTGCCCTTGCGGTCCTTAGAGAACAGGCACAAACTATCCTGGGAACCCAGCTGGAAGGGACTGCATCTTGGCTCTCACCACCAGCTAGGAGTAATGATTGTATTTGCTCCTATTTTCTTTTCCTGGTCCCAACATTCTGGACTTCTTTTGTATAGCATGAAACCACCTCAGCAGCAGGGCTGGCCAGGGGCTCCTCTCTTGCCGCCCTGTATCTGTGGGGGGAGTGAAACTTTGAGGAAATCAGTGCGTTGGTCACATCTTCCCTCAGAAAAACAGCCCTGTTAAGGTAGGGGCTGCTCCCCTCCATTGAATAGGAGAGTGACACCCCCCCAACCCACCACCTGGTCAGCACCCACCCACCAAAGCTTCTGCCCTTGGAGTAGTACCCTCAGTGATTGCTAGAGGTTTTTGTGTCTCTTGGGCATCCCCAGGGAGCTCAGGGGCTCTCTGCTGCTGACCATGGGCACTGCCACAACAGCCCTTGGCTCTAGCCAAACTGAAACATAAACTGCAAAATACAAATGATGTGTGTTAGGTGGGGAAAGGCAGCAAGTGGCAGCAACGTTTGCAATTGCACTGTTAAGGCAATTAGCCTGTCTGGTCCTTGGCAGTAAGGCTGTGTAAAAGTACATGCCTTCATCTCAGAAGATGAAGATTCTGAGAACTGGATGGGGACTAAGGTGTGCCATGAGGCTGCTCATCTTTTTGACGCAGCAAAAGCACTGGTCTGGGTGCTGGGGATTAATATTGAGTACTCTCTTGCATTTGTCCTGCTTGCAAACAGCAAACAAGAGTTAGCATGATAGCACAAATACTTGGAAAGCAATTCTACTTTAAGATGTGTTAAAATATCCTTAACTCAAAAAACCCGAAACTGTACAGGAGTGACTGATGGTGGGAAAGCTACCAAATGCCCAGGCCTGCCAGCATTGAGCTGATAGTAAATGAGCAGGGCACTGCAGCTCAGCAAGGGTCTGCTCAGCCAGTTCATCCCAAAAGGACAGCTTTCTCCTGGGATAAAGCAATAGCCAGTGACAAAGGATTTCCTGAGATGACAGCAGTGCCTTGCGCTTCGGTAAATTTGTTGAAACCTGAAGCTCTCTGCAGAATTTTGCAGTGTTTTGCAGCAAATGTGTTACCACATCAACCCAGCCTCTATAAAACCTGCGTTTAAAAACTGATGCCTTTTGGGTGGAAGAGGTAGTCTTAAGTGGCTGAGCTAGGCAATTTCTATGCATTTCCAGTCTGGACCAATCCATCTGCTGAGCTCTTGGAAACACTGCCTTCTGTTAACATCTGTGAGACATCTGTGGTAGGTCACCATCACTGTTCCAGTTTGTATCAAGTGAGAAAACAGTCATGAATGAGGGTTTTTTTTGTTGCTGTTTAACTCAGTTAGCTATAAGTTGAAGGGAAGGCTGCGCTGGTTTGGAAGCTTCTGTGGATGATATGTGTGTGAGGAGCGCAGGCCCTGCTGGCGTAGGTCAGTGCTGTTAATTGTTTGGCATCACCATCCAGCACAAACTGTGCTGTGGATAGAAGCTCGCCTGCTTTGTTTGTTTCCCATGGACCTGCGAAGGCCCACGTTAGCATACATGCATACAGAGAGTATTCACTGGGGAAAATCCACAGTGAGCTTAAAACCAGAAGCAAATATGCCGATATGTTGTCTTACTGCTTTTCCAGATGATAAGAAGAGAACAGCAGTCCTCTCCTTTAGTTCACAGCTGGTATGTCCCTCTGCTGCTTCCCTGGCTGGAAGCAGGACCAGACAGGACATGGCGGAGCCTCTTGGAGCCTTAATTAATCTCATTTATAAAAAAAAAAAATCTCATCTAATGGTTTATTCTTTTAAAAAAAAAAAAAAAAAAAAAAAAAAAAAAAAAGTAAGCCATACAACAAAAACCACTAGTAAAAATGTACATCTTGTCCCTTCCATCTATGCAGTGGGTATAAAAGCCAGACGGTTGCTATCTGCTGTTATAGCAACAGGGCAAGAAAGGGCACTGGTATGAAGACCTGTATATATGCAGCCCACATCTCTGAATTAAATGTTACCAGCTCTTCCTGGCTGGTGGACAGGAGCGGCTGAGGTAGCTGCTGGTGATGGCTACAGTCCAGAGAGTTTCTTCAGGCTGTAATGTTTTCTTTATGAGGCAATCGTTTCTGCAAGCTTTTATATGTATCACCATAATGAAAATTTAAAAAAACACACAGTGTTCCTGCACGTATTTTTCCCGTTGCTGTTATGCCCAGCCCTGGAAGAAGGGGAAAGTGCTCAGTGATGTCCTTCAAACACCATGCCTGCACCTAGATGGGCTTTGGCTGCTGCACTGACAGCACAAGCACAGCAGGAAGCAAGTGGAAATGGGCCCTCAGGGCTCTTGGACCAGGAGAACATTTCTGAGCTATTGCTGCTGCACGGCCCAGCCTATGGGAAGTATTGACCACAGAGACCCTGTCAGATCCACCAGAGGCAACAAACTGCTGTATATCTGAAACAAGAAACTGCGCACCTTCACCAGGATGCCTTTTGCCTTGAGAGCTGGAAAGAAAGGTTGTGAACGTTAAGAGCATCTAAGAAATACCGTGTGTCGCTTTTCCATAGCAAAGGTAAGAGATCTAGGCAAATACTGCTGGTACCTGCAGTTTGGGGGAGACTGTATTAGTGGTTAGCAGCTAAGTCTTTCCTCACTGGTGAGGTGTTGCACAGCCCTCAGCAGACAGTGATTAGAAACACACTTGAAAGCGCCAGTTGTTCCCCCTGCACCCAGAGCAACGTGAGAGTCCACTGTATTCCTTAATAACCCGGCACAGATGGTGCATTGCATGCTTTGGAGGACTCTGACCCGCTTCTCTGCTTAGTGCAAAACCTGCTGCTGCTTCTTAGTTATACAAAAACAAGAAAATGTCCTGTTTGGGCTAGATTGGAGTCTGTAATCCTGGTGCCATCAGTCAGATTGAAAGGCCAGTTCCTTAAAAAGGAAAAAGCTCAGTTGTTATACCATGAATATATACACATGGATAAAGCAGAGAAGGCTTTGACGTTCACAGCCCTTTGTGCAACATTCCTGTCGTATCACAAACACATCAGCCTACATGCTTTGCTAATTGTGTTATGCTCCAAAGCAGTCAGGGCCTGATGGTGCCCAATGAAGACCAACAGCACACAGCTGCCATGTGCTTTGCAAAACTTGACTTCAGCTGTGCAGCTTGATGCTGATACGTGGTTTAACATTGTATACCTTCAGAACAGGGAGAATCCAGGCAGACTTTCATTTTAAGGTAATTTCCCTACTGAACACCCTTCTGAGGATCAAATCTGTATTTTGACATATCTGTAGTAAAAACTTTGGTGCAGAGTTGTAATTGTAGGCATGTGCATGAATCTCTGAATCAAGGAGCCCACATGCCCCTGATCAGTTTGGGATGTTATCCAGAAATAAAGCCCAACAGCAGCCCTTAAGACAAACAAACTGTAAACTGTATTTCTTTGTTTATATCATTAGATATGATGCAGCCAAAGTTCATAGTCACAAGGTTGAACATCACCTAGCTGGAAAAAGCTAAAACAAATGAATGGTGTCACTAAATTAAACTTATGTTGGCTAACAGCTATGGGCTGCAGTGGCATTCAGAGCCATGGAGTGTGCGATTCTCTCGCTGCCACCAGGACAGGGGCATGTAGGTGGTTTGTGGCTGCTGAGATAGCTTTGGTAGTGCTCTTGCTCCCGACATGCATGATGGGCTATTGGGTTTCTTCTCCACTGCTCCCTTTTTTGGGACATTGCACATATCCGGCAATGCGTATGGGCTCCCTGACCCTTCCACCTCTTTTTCTTCCCTCAGCTTGCATTCAAAAACTGAGAGAGTGCAGAGTTCTGGTAAACAACATTTTGCCATCAGTATAGAAAAATAGTATTTTGCAAAGATGGTGATGTGGGTAGAAGGGATGTTCTTCAAAGACAGGTTTAACATATGAAATTGCATGTTGGGTCTGCTCTCTCCAGCAGCATGCATAAAGACTGGATGTTGTGTTGAGGGACGTGGTTTAGTGGGAGCTATTGGTAACAGGTGAATGGTTGGACTGGATGATCTTTTAGGTCTTTTCCAACCTTGGTGATTCTATGATTCTATGCTTTGGGAACAGCACTGTGCCACACCACCTGTGACTTAGGTGATATGCTACAAGAGAAACGGCTTCATTTGGACAAGGAAACGCCAGCATGGCACCCGTGGCATCTTCACTGCAAGCAGAAATGTAAGCAAGAGCAAAAAGCGTGGTTTGGGGTATTGCTGAAGCAGTAGGCAAATATGCAGCTGTGATGTTGAGATCAGGGTGCCCCTGCTCCTGAACCCGCTCACAGTCTGGACTGGCAGAAACCTTTGTGCTTGCAGCTTTGCGTCATACCCTCTCTCTCTCTCCCTCTCTTTCCCAGACCAACGCCGTGTAGCTTTTGCATTATTTCATTCCCTTGTCTGCCTGTTTTTCTCGTGTGCGCGGGCTGAAGATTTGGTCACGCTGTGTGCCTGCAGACTCACCCACAGGACAGATAGGAAAGAGCAGGAAGGCAGTGTTGTTCCTGGATATGTAGCTCTTGGGCTGCAGTTACGCATAGGAACTTGATGTGTGTGCTGGCATTTCTGCATATGACAGCAGGCATCACTCCCAGTCACTACCAGGTCTGGATGCCACAGTGTCACGGCCCGTTCTCTTGGTTACCACCACACTTGTGTGCTACCTAGAAATACATTGCTCAGCTGCCTTACCTGTGAAATGCCAGCACGCTGCTGGAGAGTGCTCTGCTTTGCAGGGGGAGAGCACTGGGCTCCTTCTCCCTGGGCATGCTTTCTCCTTTCACACTGAGTGAAAGCCAGGGCAGGAACCTGCTCATCTCCTCGTTCTGCCTTCTGCAGTGGGCAGCACGTGGCTGGGGCTCCCTCCCCTTGGGCCCACCCTGTGTGCTACCTCCACGTGCTCTGAAACGCTTCTTACGGCGCTGGCAGTGTGTCTGTGAGGTCTGCTGGCACAATCAGGCTGGCTTTAAGTTGGGCTTGGAGCTGAGCAAAGCTCAGGAGCAGAAAGCATTTTAAAACCATGTTTCACAGAAGACTTGATCTGAGCTCCATTTGCAGCACTTGCAAAGGTGGCATTTTGTCAGTATTGAACCTCCAGCTGCTCAGTAATCATTTCACTCAGCTCAGATGGAGGACACAGAGCAAGGGGGAGGTGGGATATTTCCCAAACATTCCTCTTTTTGGTTGCACACCAATGTCGTGGTGTTTTGCTGACATGCTGGAGCCCCAGCCCAGCGATTCAGGCTCAGCCTTTGGGAGAAGAGTGAGACCGCTCTGAGGAAAATGATTTAAAATGCCTTCAGATGCCTTTTCACTTCTTTTTATTTAATTCCATAAATATTTTCATAAGGCTCAGTGTCTTTACAACACTTTTTTAAACACTTTGTTTTTTTTTGTTTTATACACACAACTTTGACACTTGTTTGACAGGGTCAAACAGTCCAATATAAACAAAATAATAAAACTGGCAAGTGTGGATCAGCTGGGTTACCAAAATCCTTTTTTTTTCTTTTTTTTTTTCTTTTTTTTTTTTTCTCTTACTGTTAAAACCCCAAAAGCACTAAAATATCAGTATTTGGCTTCAAACTAGAATTTTAAAAACTTTTTTTTTTTTTAAATTCTCTGCTACAAGTCCCTGTCATCATAGTGCCTTTAGACTCCTACAGACTCTTCTTTTCTTCTCAAGGAAAAATAAGCTCAGTGATGCCATGCAGAACTTACAATAGCTACTAAATATACATGTTCCCTGAAATGTAGCTGCGATGAAAAGATGACAGAGCATAAAGAGAACAAAACCAGAAACCCAAAGCACCACAGTGTACTATCAATAACATTGCAATGGATGGCCAGTGACCATCCAGAAACTGAAACAGATTTCAAATATATTTCTCTATGTATTATTTTCTATTTACAACTGTTAGATGCACCTAGGTTGATCCTTGGTTGATTGTTTTGAGAGGGTAGGGAGGCAAAAGTCTTGAATTTAGATCCTCTGTTCTAGTGACTAGGTCAAGGGGTAATGCATGTCATTTACCTAGGGAAGAGGGTATTTTTGTTGTTGGTTTTTTTTATATATATATATATATAGTTTCAGCCAGAGAAATACCGTAAACATGTAAGTTTGTTACAACTTTCTCATTTCTGCATATGGAATGGTAAGTGGGTTCCTCCTGTCTGGCATTGAAATGAAAGTCTCTATCAGATGCTCAGTCAAAATCACCCCGATCTGACAGCATCTGTGCTGCTTCCAGCACTTTCAGACGCAACGAGGCAGCCCAGCCCTGCTCCCTATAGGGAAAGCCACGGTAGGTAGTAAAAGTGGGACCCAGTGCTGGTTCTTCTTTGCGATAATGCTCCATCTCTTGCAGCACCTTGGCCATTTGTGGAAGGGAAGGGAAGGGCTTTCTTGAGCGCCATTGAGAGCCAAGCCCCTCTTCCCTCTGGAACAAGCGGCTGCGGCTGCTCCGCCTGCCACCCGGCTTCGGCAAGCGCTAGCGGCGCTCGTTAGTTTTGGCTTTCCACTTAAGAAGGAAGCTGCGAGTCCAACAAGTGGCCTTGTCAGATCGAGCGAGTCTTGAGTTATGATGCAAATAATGGTGTGGCGGTGGAGTTTCTTTTTTCCTAGCGCTGAATATTTAGGAAGCATCTTCTCATAAAAATTATGGATGTCTCATTCTCACTCTCTGAGGCACAAAACAGTAAATGAATAGGCTTAACTAATGTGCTTGTTACTTTTTCTTTTTTTCCCCTAAGCAATTAAAAAGGAAAAGGAATAAGTGAAATTTCTATCACGCTGACAACAGATTGTGATCTCTCTCTCTTTCTCTCTCTCTCTGCATCTCTCTCCAGCCATTCAGAAACAGTGAAACATTTCAGTTAACTTCTGCAAACCGATTCCATTCACTTCTCTAAATAACCCACTCTGTTAAGCAAACATAATAACTGCTACGTGTTCAGTATGAAAATCGAAATGTAAAAATGCAAAGATACAAAAGAGGATAGAAATTAGCTGTGTTACAAAATTTGGCTGCCTCCTATGCGGGTTTCTCAGTGTTTCACTGCTGCCTGTCACAGAGGGGCCACTCCTCCTCTCCAAAATGCCAGCCTGGCATTGTTGCACTGATAGGTTTGTAGGTGACCCTAAGGTGCTGAGATTATTTTTGTACTTAAAGAAAAAATACAGCTGCTGCCTTCTGATGTGCCCTGAAATAACCCAAGCTCCATGGAAAAACTAAAATCGCACTCTCTGCTTTTGCCATTTTCTGAAGTGATAAAAACACATTTGTCCATGCTACTGGCCTGAGGTGCTTACATGGGGTATCAAATTTGAAAGAAAAATATAAATATCATGATCTATTATTTCGACTTGCATTTTTAAAGGAGGTTGCAGAATAGCTCTGCAAAGTTTAAATTCATCTTCTAAGCCTGGTTAAACAATCCCAATTGTCCTAGTGCACAATGGTTTGTTTTATGAGCTTAAACATAAGCGTTTGTGCTTGGAAGCGAATGTACTTAAGGCTAAAATTGTAGGAGGTGTCTTTGAAAATACAGCTATCAATCTCCAGAGGGAGAAAAAGAGAGAGAAAGAGATCTGGAGAATTCAGCTAATCGCTCCAGAGCCCACTGACACTGATGCCACTGCAGTTCAGATTTAACTGGTTGGTGATTTGGATTAGGTCATGGGCATACGGCTGACCTGCTCAGGTCACATCCGTACCTTTCCTGAGAGGCAGTCCTCAACTCTTCTGCAGCTTTGGGTGCATGAAACACCAGGTAGATACTCCCAGTTATCCTTCTGCTAATGGATGCCTGCTGCATTTTGCTTGGGAGCTCCGTGCCGACGTGAAGCCGGCTGTCTGAAGTGCTACAGAGCCGAGCAGGCAGTGAGCGCGGGCACGGCCCTCGCTTCTGGGATCACTGCTCCTGCACACAGCCATCGGTGGTTCCTTAATGCAGTACTGTGTGGGCCTGACTGCGGCCAATGGGATGGGACCTTAGTTCCTGAAGAAAGAAAAGTGGCCATTTGTTGAAGCCTAATAGCCAATTTTCTCTAGCTGCAATGGGGGGCATGAAGCCGTCGGTTTTTAAGCTTTTATCTTTGCATGGAAAACAAAGATAGTGGGCTTTTCAGAGAGTTGAGTCTCAGCTTAAAAAGAGAATGAATCCAAATCAAAGATAACCCCACAGAAACAAAATTAAATGCAAAAAAAAAAAAAAAGCCCCTGATATTCTTTTCTCAGTCTCACTCTGAGCGTGATCACATCACACTGAATTGAGAAAAAGACAGCTTAAAAAATGCAGTAAGTTAACTGAGGAAAACCCATCTCTCGCTTCCTAAATAGCTGCTACCCCTTCTGCTTGTTTTCAACTGCCCGCAACAAAACAGTTAAAGCCAGAGAAATACTGCGCAGCAGAGCATGGTGCACAAGGGAGCACATCCAGACAGGCACGAGTCAGACCAGAGAATGCAGGACAGGGATGGGAAAGGATCGATGCTCTTCACTGAAATGGTAACTCTGGGACAGCCAAGGAAGGGATGGAGAGGGAGGGAGATGGAGCAGAGATCTCCCAGCACCCCAAAAAACAAACAACCCCCCCCCCCCATAAATAAAATAAAATAAAATATACACCAACATAGTCCATGAGGAACTTCGATGAAGAATTCAAACAAGCAAGAAAGCATTCTGGGATGCCAATGACAACTTCAATGAAAATGAAGACACACAAAAAAAAGGAAAAAAACAATGTCAGACCAATAGAATAAAATAAAAAAGGTCACATGATTAGAAATCATTGGTGCTTCCTACTATCTAGTAGCAGACTGCTTCCCAAAAACAACAAAAAAAGTTTTTGGTCCTTCTATATATATACATATATGTATATATATATATGTATTATTTTTTAAATGTGTATACATATATATATGTATATATATTTAGTTGCAACAGTGCTTCTCCGAAAAAAGGTCCATCTATAAATATAATTTTATTTATTTTTATTTTTTTAAGTTCTTTTAAGTTAAAATTCTCCATCTCTCTAAGTATTATTTTTTGAATGGTGTTAACCTGCTGAAGTTTTGCCAGAATGGTGCCTGGCTGCGTCTGGGTTCGGTGAACTCGAAGACCTGGGACTGGGATATGCCATCTGTCACCATGTATTGTCCCTGATTTAATGGATCCTGGGGTGGTGGGTAGGCTGGAGGAACCGACTTGGAGTAGCTCACACCTGCATCGATGATTGGGGGGAAAAAGAAACAGATCAGTCAAAGTGCAATTGGGTCAATAGTCTTTCTCCATCATGCTATCGCTTCTTAACACTTAATAACCAGGGTCCCAAACAACAGGGAGACATGCTAGAGACAGCAAATCTGTGGAGAAATGCAGCAGCTGCCTGAACTCCCAGCTCAGAGGCTACCTACGCTAGACTGCAAGCTGAAGATTTGCTAAAGATCCATTACTTTATTGTATTGGCAGAGTTTTGCCTGCCCTCATGGAAAAGTCCTGCATGACCTAGCAAGAAACAAACACGTGGCCAAGCCATACACAGTCACTCAAAGGCAGAGACCACAGCAGTTGATTCCGCTCTCAAATCTAGCACCTGCAGTTTCCAAGCTGGATTTCGCCCTCCCTCCCATCCAAACTCAGCAGGCAGCTGTGCCCCAAATGCATCCCTGTGACCGGCCCTGAGCAGCACGACCCTAGGGACCACTTGGCGCCAGCTCTTGTGCTGGAATGGAACAGAGCATGGCAGTTTGGGAGGAATCTCCTGCAGGGACCTGTGTCGCTTCAGTGCTATTCAGCTGATACAAAGGGCAGCTCTTTATGTCAGAAGGTTTGTAGGACTTTTCCATAGGGTGTTTGTGTTGTTTTTTTTTAATTTACTGGTCTTGTTTCAGCCAAAAATGGCTATAGGCGATGCAGAAAAGGCTGCTTCTGCTCAATCCGAATGGGTAGCAATGGAAAGACTGGCAGGGATACATTGTCAGGGTCTGTCCTGGCTTGGGGAACAATTCCCATGTATATGAGTCACAAGTTGTGTGCAGGAAAGGGGTAAGGGGAGATTGCTCTGACAGCTTTCTCACTAGAAAGGTGAGCTTCAGCAAGCTGGGACCTACACAGCCCATTGTAAAGGATGATGCACAAATTGCAGTTCTGGGTGAATGGGAGTGTAACAGGAAGGAGGCATGGAGCCCCCGAAGCACAGACTATAGGGAAAAGTCACAGAGCTACTTCTGCATTTCCTCTCCACAATGCCATTGAGCCATTGACTAGGGATAATCCCTCCTTCAGCCTCAAGGTGCTGTGATCAGCTGGAAGCCACAACTCCAGAAAAGGGCAGAAGCCGGGAGGAGCAGGGCTCTGAAGCAGGTTGCTGTAAGCTCTGGCCATCTCTGGATCCCCTCTGCTGCATGCAGAACTGCTCTTCCTTCTGTGGGGAGGGCAGTCCCGGCCGCATGACGGGTGGTAAGCTTCACAAGGGCCATCTCGAGGCCATTGCCTCCCTGTTTTTAACCGCAGGAACGAGGTGACTCTACCAAGTAGACCAGTGTCCTCATCTGGAAAGCGGGATGGCATGACCCACCTACCTCACACGAGGGTTGTGAAGCTAAATTAATTAATGTTTGTAAAACACTTTGAGATCCTCGGCTGGGAAGGTGCTAGAGAAGGCAAAATACGGTGATTAGCACCCAGGTACCACAGCAGTGTGTGTCAAAGAAATGCAACTGCGTTCAGTTAGTGGTTCCTACTCACATACAAACACATGCTTTGTGGGACCAGCACCGGCCGGCCCAGGAACAGGAGGGCTGCACACAGTTGGGTACTTACAGACAAAGGAAAAAGCCTCACAGAGTGCACTCATGGAGCTCACCTGACAATTTCTGTATGTTGCCAAATTGCAATCCAGGGCTTCTTTTAGATATGAAGCTACGGCTTTAGGATGGCTTTAGGAGAGAGAATTAATTTGCTTCCCCTTGCTATAGAATTTACCAATCCTGAATTGCTAAAAACCTTAAAAAGGTTCGGACCAAATCGAGATACCATCTTGACTATAGCTAACTGATTTCTCCTTTGCAGCAAATACTATCAAACCATGCCTCTCTCTCTGTTGCCTACAGGGAGTAACTGAGGCCTTTCCTTATGGTGGATAGAAACTGCTCTATGGTTCATTACTCATTAACCTTTAACAAATTCAACACAGTTAATATTTCAAACTCAGTTGAAAAGAGCAGTCTGGAATTGTTCTGCAGCTGTATTTGTCCTGTCTCTGTCTTTCCCAAGCACCTCTCCAGCGTATCTGCAGAGTGGGGTCAGTGCTGGGACACCTAAGTCAATTTCTGTACCATCCTTCCTGGTGGGACCCAACGCTCAGTTTGCACTTGCCACACAGTGACTTAAGCCAGTGATGTCACACAAGAGCAAAGCATGGACTTAAGCTCATATCTACCCCATCTCTTCCCTCCCTTCTACCGCTGTCCTGATCCTAGTTGCCTTGTTGGAAGGCAATTCAACACGTGAACAGAGCCTGGAGAGTAAACTGAAGCCACACACATGTGAAGACATTCCCATGGAGACCCCCAGCCATTGGTGCTTGGCTCACCAAGTGAGGAGAGGCTGGTAAGGACTCTCAGGATCTGTGGCAAGATGAGGATATGGTTGTCCCTTACATGTCTGGTGTTGGGAAATAAATCTTATTCTATTGCTACGTGGTCTGGATCTTCAACCCAAAGTCAAAGCCACCAGCATGATTAAATAATGCTTCACAACACAAAAGAGCTGTGAATCTAAAGCTGCTACCAAAGGACACACAGCAGTTGTTTCTAGCTTTGAAAGACCTCAACACCACAGTGCTTAGTGACACAGCCCTACGCCTTTTGCACTCTGTGGCTGCAGAATCGCAGCTAGCCTCATGATGCATCTGGTCTGCCGTGTTGAGCAAGGCTGAGCTCTTTATTGTTTTTAAACCCATTTGTAGAGGGTGAACTGCTATTCTTTAGTCTCAACAAAGAATTGCTATGAAATCTCCTGGATCAGCAAAGTGTTACACACTTGGAAGGCTGGAGAAGTAGAGAAAAGACAGTCTGGCTAAAGTCCACTGACACTGATGGAATTACACTGCAAAGAACATAATCCATAGTCTGTCTTCTCCAAAAGAGAAAAAGGCAGACTCCCCTGGCCAGATCACTAGCAACCCCCTTCAGTTCTTCCCCAGGAGAGCCCTTAGGGTCCAAACTCCTGGAAAACCTCTACTCCCATCTGGAACATACCCATGCAAACACACATTGCCACATTCCTCGGTAAGGAAGCTCAGACTAATATTCTTCAAAGTTTTTTGTCTATCACTTCTCAAGGATGTAGGGGTTGATATCATTAGCATCTAAGTTGGATGAGCTTCAAAAGCTGGTTGGTTCTATTTGAATAAGCAGCCAAAGGTTTGAATATTTATCATATTTATCAAATGACGTCCATGGCCTAAATGATCAAAACTGTGCATCTCAATGGCATGCATAATCACTATGTGTTTGTGGGCATGCAAATAAAAACAATTGTGCTCTGGCAAGTCAGGCTGATAATTCCCTGAGAATACATTTTCTTGTGAAGCAGTGATACAGCACTTTGCAAAAGCTAGAGGTGCCCCAAGAATGGCTTTGTTTTTGACATACCCGTGTTCTTGACAATGTGGAACACAGGAATTATGAGTGGGGGAGGCAGAGAAATTCACCTAATCTGAACATCTTCAAAAGCCAAAAAAGAGCAATTCTGGAAAAAGTATGACAGGTTGCTGTTTTTCTGTTCCACTCTGAAGTGGTTTGTTCTCTCATCAGAACTCGGGGCTGTTGTGCAAAATTGTCTCTTGAGGGATTTTATATATGCAAAGCCATCACTTCACTGCAATTCAACAGAAAGAAATGAGCACAGCTCGTTTCCAATGCAATTTTGGGCTGCTTGGCGAACAGAATTCAAAGCACAAAGGGAAAGAATCGATAGATAAGTAATGATTTCTACACACAGCTGCTACACTGCCTTTCCAAGGCATTAGAAAGCAGCTATACACCAATGACCAGACTTGGAGCTCCTTCTGCTGGTTCATGCATAATTCTACACTGTAGCAGAATAGAAAGGCTGCAGCTGCATAGCAAGATTGTCTAGCAGGGTGGGGGTATGGAAATCTCTTCGGAATGAGCACAAAGAAAACTCCAGGGTTTATGCTTTGGCTAGACAAAACTGGTAAAGAGAGATGCTGCACTGTCAGTTGAAGTCATGTCTTTTTTTAGTGCTGGAATACGTCACTTGGAATCTTTTGAATATCTCGACTCAGAAGAAAACAGAAAGATCTATCATGGTCTCTTTTTTTCCTCCTAATTCTTTTTCTTCCCTCTATCTGAGGTTGTAACAGGACTTGACTAGCACTTGAAGATTTAGGAGCATGCTGTTAACTCACAGGCAATCCACATGGACACGTGCAGAGAGATCCAGTTACAACGTAGTGGGATGGCTCTATCAGCACTGTGCCTCACCAGTGCAAATACAAAACATACACAGAACACACTCAGATTTGCCTATATAATAACCACAGAACTTGCCTTACGAGATGGTTATTCCACCCTCACTCTTTAAGTTTTTAATCTCAGACTTTAATCAGGAGCTATTTCATAGGCTTTTCTTCTACCTATCCATCTAGATTTTGCGCTGCTCGTTAGCCGGAGCTGCGTGGGAGACAATGAAATGTCACCACCTCATTTCCCTGCTGGCCGAGGGACGGCTGCTGGCTGGGAGGGAAGCGGTGCTGTGCTGCAGAGCCTTCATTCCCTGTGATCTCAGCTGCTCCTGCATCTCAGAAATTCAGTCTCCTCATTAATACTGTAACCCATATGCAACACAGGTAGCAGGGAACATACCTCAAGAACACTAATTGCTGTATGGTTAATTATTCCTGCAATAGTGACAAGTTCAGTTTAAAGAAACAAGAAGCCATGGCTCAATGGGTACAGCCCCTTGCCCTTCTTCAGCACGTTTCAACAGAGGATCTCAAAGCACCTCTCCACTGTTCATTTGGTCACTGTCGTATTTAGAGTTAGCAAACTGTTCTGTATCTGACACCAGTTCTGCTGATTGAAGGCTGTTGTTACAGCCAGAGGTGAGGATGGGGGCTGCGAGAAGGAAATGTCTGCCTCCAGCAGCAGTCCTGAGCAGCCATGGACTGCACTGCTTTTCACCTCCATGCTA